GGTAGAAAGATTTCAGTGGAGTTTCCAGACTAAGATAGACTAGAGAGAAAGGCCTGGTGATCTACTTCTGTAAATTAGCCGTGAAAACTCTGTGGATCACAACAGAATATTGTCCAACAGGGTGCTGGAAGATGGGCCTGGTAGGTTGGGAGGCACGACATAACGCCACAACAGTGGAGTCAAACAAGCAACAATCACGAAGATGGTGCTGGACCAGGTGAGGCTGCTGTGAGTCAGAGCTGACGGAACAGCAACAGAGAACAACAAGCACAGTAATCCTTGGCAGTGCTCAGAAGTGCACATCGTGATGTCGGAAAGCTGATGGGTCGCGGTGGCAGAGGTCTGCGTGTTTTGGGGGCAGAGGAGAAAGTTGGAGAATATCTGGGAAAGGCAATGCAAAAGAGTACATGAACAAAAAGAAAGATGGGGATGGGTGCCGAAGACAAATTCTGCCTACTTCATAATTTTGCTTCAGGTTTATATTCTGGGATTGCTCGAAAACTCAACCCATTGCCATGGAGTCGATAGTGACTTGATTGCCATCGACTGCTCCACAGGCTTTCCAAGGGTGCAAATATTTACCAAAGCAGACTGCCCTATCTTTCTCCCACAGATAGCCTGGTGAGTTCGAGCTGCTGACCTTTCAGTTAGCAGCTAAGTGCTTAAATACCACCAGGGCTCCTCAGGAATATTATATAGCACTGAACGGGAAGTTCCACTACCTGTTGCAACATGGGAGAATCTTTATTTTATTTTTTCCTCTCATGGGCAATGGCCTTTAATCATATGCTAACATTAAAATATATGGAAATGATGAAAAATGCACCCATTTGGATCTCTTTCTGGCACACCAGGAACACTGTACAATAGCAAAGCAACCTCAATGTCTGTCAGCAGAATAATGGGTATACATGTTAGTATATTTTATAATACAATATTATATCACAATGAAAATTATAAAGCTCAAAAACATATTGTGGAAGAAGAGCTCTCTCTCTCTCTCTCTCTCTCT